TATTATTTTTTAATGGTATTGCTTATATTGTTATATTATATATTATATATATTTGTATTATATAAGTTGCAACAACAAAGAACTTAAAAATTCTACTAGAATTCTAAATAAAAATCCAATTAAATCTTAATAATCTAAATCAAAATTTAATTTTTAAAGAAATCTTTAATAAATTCTAAAAAATAAATTATAAATAAATTTTCAAGAATTTTTAAAGAAATCATTAAAAAATAATAATAAATAAATAAATACATATTCTAAAAATATCAAAAATAGAAATACTAAAAAAATAATAAAAAATTTAAAGAAATACAAAAAATTACTTAAATAAATATAAAATAAATTCTAAATATATTTTTAAAAAATTCTAACCAAATCTTAAATAAACTATAATTAAATTCTTATCAAATTCTAAACAAATCTTAATTAAATTTTTAAAAAATCTAAAAAAAATATTAAATGAATTTTAATCAAATCCTAAGTAATTCCTAAAAAATATCTATAATAGTCTTAAAACCTCAATAACTATTAAATGAATTATTGATTTTGACTAAATTTTTTTATATATTTCAATCTCCAAGCAAACAAAAAATATACAAAGTTTGAAAAAAATTGAATGTATCAATTGGAAAAAAGAGCTCTTTATTTGCTTACATCTTGGTCATTTTCCTTCTCCAACCTTGAAATTGATCTTCTAGTAGCAATAACTCTTTGTTGAACCATTAACTTTCTTTTTAAATTAAAAATTATTAAAAAATAATTTTACCATACTGTCATAAATTTTTCCTTCAATCTTATTAGCAAATTACTTAAGATCAAAAAAATTCTTACTAACTCTAAAAATCAAATATTTAAGAGTCTAATCCAATCAAATTCTAATATTCTTTAATCTAATCTTTTAATTAATCTTAAATGTGTAGAATACATTAAAGATAAACATATTTAAAAATCCAAAAATAAACACCTATACATCATCTACAATACTCATATATTTTTAAAATATATAAACCTTCCTTTATTTTTTAAAAATCAAAATCTTTGAAAATATTTCTAACTTTAAAAAGTACTCAAAATTTTAAATTTAATCTAAATCACATAAATTTAATGCCATAAAAATCGTCCTAAAATCTTTTCTCTATCTATACTCTCAAATCAACAAAAGAACTTTAGAATTGCTATAGATATGCAATTTTATGCTTTAGGGTTTGATTTTGACCTTCATTCACAACTATTCCTCTTTGGATATCAATATTTAGTTTTTAAGATGATTTATGATAAAAAAAAAAAAAAAAAAAAAAAAAAAAATTAATTAATTATTATATTATTTATTTTCTAAATTTATTTATTTTTACCTAATTTATGGCAATAAAAAATAAATACAAGTTTTTTTACAAAAAGGTAGCATCAACACTAAAAGCTTTTACTACTTCTTTATTTTATACTTGTATTTTACTATTATATTTTTTAATTATGATCTTTTATATTAGAATCCATATTTTTATCTTTCACTAATTATTTTTATTATAACATCACACTATGTTATTATAGATAAAATTTACTAATAATAAAATAATTGTTCAATTATCATGATAGTAGTTAATGGTACATTATAAGTATTTCTTCAAAACTTAAATCAATTGTTTTATTTGTCCATCACTTTGATAGTAAAAAGTCAAAGATAGTTTTATGTCTATCTTCAATATCTTAAAAATGGTTCTCCATGACTTTGATATAAATTGAGTCTATCTATTTGATATAGTATCCCTTGGCAATCCATGATAGCAATAAATATTATCAAAAAAAAATATAGTTGTTTCTACACATGTGATAGATTTTGTGCATAGTATAAATTGTGTCATCTTGGTAAAGAAATCTATTATTATAAATATAGAGTCATAAAAACTTGAAATTTGAAGATCCATAATAAAATCCATAGAAACAAAAGACCATGGTGTAAGTGATAGCTAAAGAAGTCTTTAAGATCAATGATGAGAAGTTATTGATCTTGAATAAACATCATATGATTGTACAAAGTTTTTAACTCCCTTCCACATTTGAGGCTACAAAACAATTTTAGATAATAAGTCCAAGATCTTGTTATATTCAAAATGTCTTAAAATTAGAAAATTATAATAAGCTTGAAGAATACATAATTTTACTTCACTTTTAGAAATATATTAGTATCTCTCAAAATAAAATAGATTCTTTTTTAACTCAAATTTAGAAGTATCATGAAATTTAGATAGATTATTTTTAATATCATAAAGAAGAGGATCTAAGGACATACTTGATTGAACCTACTTAAAAAGATTGAATCAAAAGTAAATATTGATTTTATTGCTCAAAAATAAAATTACTTTGTTTTCAAAATAATTATTTGTTATTGATCAAAAAAAATTTTATATATATATATATTAAGATAAGAATATCTAAAACGAATATCCAAATAAATGATCTTAAATCCAAATCTTTATAAAAATATATTTTAATGGACTTGGCAATAATTTAAAATTTGTGCTAATATAACATATTTAAGGTTCTTATATTATGTAAAAACAATCATTAAATTAAAAGCATTTTTTAGATAATGGTGTTATTTTTAAAATGAATCTATAATTGTAAAAAGTATTTTGTAGTAAATCTTATAATTGATCTTTATTTCTAAAAAAAATCTTAAATAAAAAGATGTAGGGTGAAGTTTGTCATTTGCAACCATATGTAACAATAGTGCATCAAAGGCAGAGTTTGATGCATCTATTTCTATAAAATAAATAAATAATACTTTAGAAAAGTTAATGCAATGCAAGATTGGTGCGAAAGTAAAAATTATCTTTAAAGCTTCAAATAATAATTTTTCTTCTTTATTCCATTGAAGTTTGTCTTTAAAAATTAAATATGTAAGTAGAATTACAACTTGAGAAAAGTTTTCAATAAAAATCCAAAAGTAATTGGCAAATTCCAAAAAAATATTTAAACGTCTTTTATTATTTTATAAATTTATAAATAAAATTTAAAAAAATAAATAAATAAATAAATAATAATAATTTACAACATTTAATATCAAATAAAAATTATCACAAAAAGAGATAGTCTAGTGTCTAAAAGGAAAAAATTAATGTAAGAAAACAAAAAAATGTTGGTTTAAAAGTAGGTAGTTTGCAACCTTTAGAATACGAAAAAAGAAATAAGAATTTATTTTTAACAAAACAAGAATAATGAATTAGTACTCTTGTCAAACTATTAAAGACATGAATCACAAAGAATCAAAGAATTAATACACTCTTATATCACTCAAAAATGATATAATATTAAACTAAAATGGCTATTACCGAAGACAAGAAGACTAAATGTTATTGATATAAGACTAAGGACAAGAAAGGTATTGAAATGAATAAAGAAGGGCTTCCTCTTGCCTCTATATATAATATCTAATTAGGAGCTACATAGCAATATTCTATATGACCTCCAATATATATCTAACTCAGAAGATAAGTTTCTTATATGTACACCACATGGCCAACTTTTATCATAAGTCACCAACATGTGCAATATGTGGCAAACTAATCACCTACAAACATGTATAAAATCAAATATGTGTCTATGAAGCTCCTAAGAAGCCTCTTCACAAGATATTAACAAATCTAACCACTTTAATTTAATTCCTTTAATTTAGATAAATATATATTTCTATAATATCTATATAGCAAGGATATGAGATTCTTGCACTTTTTTCCATTATAGAAATATTGCATCTTTTCTCATCATATATCTCAAAGTTCAAAATACTTAGCAGACTATGGTTACTTGTTTGAGGTGTCATCCTAACGATACTATGGATAGAACAAAATGATGCCTTGTTCAATGAAGTCTATTAGTCACAAGAGAAATTATATTGTAGGATATGGCTCAATTTCATCAATTATGATAGAGATGGATGGCTTAAGGTCCAAAAGAAAATCTAACAACATTTCCTAAAGGTGACAAAACATATTGAACAATTTCAACAACAATGATATATAAATATTGTCTTGACAACATGGACAATTATCATAGCAATTAGTTGGTCCAAGAAGTAGTTTATTTGGTAGTGTCTAGGTTGTTTTATATCATCTGTGGCCGGAAGTGGCTAGGATTTATGTATTTTAACCTTTCTTCTTCTTACCATAGGGAAAAACTCTATTTGTGTCAAAAAATAATAATAATAAAATAAAAAAATAATCCTTATGATCAACTCTACTATTAATCAGCCATTTGACTTGGAAAAAAAATTATTCAGATTTGATTAGAAAAAGTGATGGTTGTACACCTCCAAATAGGTGCAAAATAGGGCACGATGTAGGTTTAAAAAAAAAGAATGAAACGATATGCAGCTGCCACTCCTTTAAACTGGACCTATGGAAGGGCGAATCATTTCTGAAGGACCCAAGAGGTGCAGGATGTACTAATCCTTCACTTTTTGGCAAGTGGAATCTCCGCAACGTAAAGCTTGTTTATAAGTGAATCTGAGCATGAATATGTGGGAATCCATTCTTAAGTAAACGATCTTCTTACTACATGATACAGTTCTCACAAGAATAAAATTTCTTTGTCCGAGGCGTCATATCCGAAGGATTTGATACGTAGCGACTAGTCGTTTGTTGACGTTACTTACAATTGAAACAACGCTGCGAATCTAGCTTACAATCATATCACCATCAAGTACGATCCACACCATGCCCTTCTGCAAATGATATCATATATCAACCACATCACACTGACAAACACAAGCAGTTGGTTTCTCGCCTTCCGGGTTGCCGCAGCAAGTTGCAGAAGGGCCGGGAGTTGGACAAAGTTACTAGTCTGTGAGACAACTCCTGTGGAATGTATGACATACATGATACATATATTACCACTACCACTTGCATGATGACTAAGTAGACTGGAATGGCAACAAGTCCCGTCCAAGAGTTTCCTGTTCTCACTGATAAATTATCCCCTGAATCCAAAATCAACGCAAGTAGCAAGTGGAAGTGGAAGTGGAAACTTTACTAAAGTACTTACAAAAGTTGACCATCATTACTTAAAAACTACAGATCTTGTCTTTATCTCTGGTCGTGCTTCAGACGTGCACGAACAGACCGTGTACATAAGCAACTACACATTATCTAGAAAGTAGACTTCTGCCAATTGCAGCAGATTAAAATCCCGCTCCCCTTGATAAAAATTTGGGTAACTACTTGAAGTGAAAACTATCCAGGACTATCTCGTGAACAAATATCCGTGACTCGTAGAAGCTGAATGAGCAACCAGAAGAGACCAGTGACAAATCTTCATCGTCAGAATGCACCATTGTCTTGTTTCTACTGTGTTACTCAGATTCCACCTTTTCACGATGCGGATATTTGATGTACCTACTCCAAAAGAGACAACTATTATCTATACCATGTCTTCCAACCGTGATCAATGTCTTCAAAGAATTGCCAGCATATATTCCTGATTGACAAGAGACGATGTGCCATAGTACCTTCTACACAGTGTACGACTGTTGGATCATCTCAACGTCAAGGTTTTTCAAGCGAACAACAGATTCTACATGTCCCTTGAGAGTGTTCAACTCCCGTAGCCTGTAGCAACCAAACACAATATCGTAAGCATCGACATCAGTGACGTGAGATTCTAAAGCATGGAATTAAGAGACATTATTTACAAATACTTTTGAAGAACCACCAATTCACGGCAGATGATCAGATATCCCGTGCGGCACGTTACAATGGACATGCGGATTCGGCCATAATCCCATCATTCAACAATCAACCAAATGATGTGTACCTTGCAATCTCAGCCCTCCTCTTGGCCTGCTCAGCCATGAATCCAAGCTCTCTGTTACCGCTGCCGCTTGCAGCAGGGTCTTCCTTGGATTCAGGAGGATGTAGTCCATGCAAGGTTCGCTGAGCGAGAGCCCACTGAGCTTCACGAGCTTCCTTTCCGAAGTCTTTCTGAGTTGTGAACGCAGTCTGTGACAGATCAATGAATAAAAGTTAATAGCATGAATCCGTGTTATTCGAAGCAGAATTTCCAGAACAAGGTTGATGTAGAGAGAGAAAACTGTACCTTTCTGTTGATAAGATTATCCCAAGCCTTTCCACTTTGAATGTAGCGGACAGCAAATTTCAAAATATCCAAGGGAAGATAAGTGACGGTGCTGTACAGCCAGATAATCCCAGCCCAGCCCCATCCACAACCACGAATGTGCGCGAATCCCCAATTAGCGTACACGGCAATGAATGTAGCTATCTGTGGGAAGGAGCAACACATTGTTATTAGTGTCAACTTCGCCTAACTTCTTGAACGTAGAAATTCCCTTCTTAATTAGTCTGAAAATAGTAAAGGAAAACACTCACTGCAATGTCACTCAGTTCTTCAGCAAATGCTTCAGCTGAACCGATAACAAACTGAAATCTTACCAGCTGAGCAGCAAGAAATGCAATCATAAGCAGTGCTCCCGGTCTCTCAACGAATGACCAGCTCCGGGAACGAGTGACGAAGATAAGGGCCTGACTGATGATGCTGACTTGCAGGTAGATGGCCGCTGTCATCTCGCTGAAGTCACCGCTTATATCTCTCACCCCAAATCGGTCCTACACGATTTTCAGCTTTGTCAGACACTAGCTTTAAGAACAAAGACGACAAGCACACGCGAAATCAAAACATAAGACCCACGTCGTAGACAGCATCGATATACCTAGACTTGGAAGAGTTACACTTCCTGCGTAAGTTGACAAAAATATCTCATAACAATAGACTTCTAAGTTCTGAAGTAAAAAACCAGTATCATGTACCGGGAAAAACGTGGTCTCGTGCATGAGCCAGAAGAACAGGACCGTCATCAATGCCATGTAGGTGCCGAGCACAACACCGACACCAAAAATCTCCCTCAACTTCCAACTGTCAGGCAGAGGAGATGGCTTTACGCGATCTTTGGCGATGGTCATGATAGTACCTGATCACGCGCATCATGACTAAATATCACTTAACTACTACATTTCAAAGCCATAACGCAGTATAAGACGGAAACATGGGCTCTTACGTTATGAAAACCCCCCACGCATTTTTCCTCGAGCATGATAGCAAAATCAAGAATCCTTTTAGAGACCTTAATGAGAACCTCAAATTCGAAATATTTCATACTAGAAGAGAAAAAGTGCGCACATACCGTCATTGAGAATGGCAATGACAAGAACCATGAATGGTGAAAAGTCGAACTTCCATATCAAGGCCAGTAGCATAAATCCAAGCTGCAAAACAAATCCGGGGATGAGGCCACATAAATATCACGCAGAAAGTGTCAAACAACGTACCAAGCAAATCACAACAAGCAAGAACAGAAACTCAGATTAATGAAAGCAGTCTAAATCAAGAGACGTATAGAAGGCACTAACAAAACGACACATGATACATACCACGATACGGATGGTGATAGAAACAGCGTAGATCTGCAGATACACCACAGAAATCAAAAGCGTCGTTAGATAATTTTGCAGACAGCCTGCATACAAGTTACCGCGGAGAAAGACGGTACTGTATGTGCAACACATAATTCTACCATTGTTGCTGGATACTGCCTCACCAACACACACATGAATGGATCCCGAGTGCAAGGACACGTATCCATCTAAACAGAAACCAAATTTATATCAAAAAAACAAACCGTGTAGTTCTTCATGCGCTGGAAAATTGCTCGGCTGGTCAACACAGCACTTATAATGACACTGAGACCAGGTTCGGTGAGCACAATATCAGAGGCACTCCGCGCAGCATCCGTAGCATCTGCCACAGCGATACCGATATCTGCCTTTTTCAAAGCAGGAGCATCATTGACACCATCTCCAGTCATACCAACTATGTGTTTCCTCTCCTGCAACCTCTTGACTATTTCATATTTGTGCTCAGGAAACACGCCTGCAAATCCGTCTGCCTTCTCGATAAGTTCATCCACAGGTAAAGCAGCAATAGCTTCGTCTTTGTGTGCTCCTAATAGGGAAGACGACGGGTACATGTTTGTCCCCATGCCTAACCGCCGACCTGTCTCTTTTCCAATCGCAAGCTGATCACCTGAGGTCAAATGTTACACATTAGTCCACGATAGCAGCATGTAAGTATATTACATCCCTCAACACCAGCCACGACCGCTGAGTATGCTGAAAGAACAGACGCTAAAGATCGTGACATTTTCCATCCAGAGGTTAAGTATACCTGTAATCATCTTCACGCTAACTCCCAAGTTGAGAGCTCGCCGGATGGTCTCAGCACTGTCATGCCGGGGTGGATCGAAAAGAGGCAACAACCCAAGAAACTCCCAACGTCCACCAGGACTTTCCTTGGTCTTTTCAGGGACTTCCTGCATCCAGAAAATTATACAAATCAAAAAGTGTGTGTGTATATGAGTATGTGTGTGTGTGTGTATATATATATATATATATATATATATATATATTTAGAGAGAGAGAGAGAGAGAGAGAGAGAGAGAGAGAGATTCAGATGCCTGTGATTGTTTTATACTCTTTGAATATCAACTATAAAAAAATTGAAATACTTAAACTAAAAACACTTTCAATCATAATCGCTTTCCAAAAATGAGAAAAAATAATGCAGGCCCGAGTAAAATCTATGATTGCACATGCAAATCCAGTGTTACAAATACTCGCCTGCCTGGCCACAGCCAATGATCGCAGCCCACGTTCAGCAAATTTATCAATAATCGAATGAACCCGTGCGCTGATCTCTTCCTTATTGTATGCCAGTTCTAGAATCTGCTCGGGAGCTCCCTTGCTGGATCGATACCACTTGCCATCGGCATTGTCAATGTATGTAATAGCGGTACGCTTGTCAACAGGATTGAATGGAAGAAAATGTATTTCTTGAATACCAGCACGAGCCTGCAATTATCACAAATATGGTCACATAGTGCTCCTCTACAAAGAGGTAATCAAGCTGGAGAGTAACCAGATCAGTTTCGTAAAAGACAAGATGAATCCAGACCTCTTTAGGATCGGCTAACACTCCAACGATGCATGCATCGATAGCATCTTGATTCTCGACCCTAGAAGCTCGCGCAGACATTAGGCACACCATGTCCCTGTCAACACCTTTCGTAAATACTTCCACCAGGTTCTTGTCAACAGTCAGCTTGTTCAGCGTCAGGGTTCCTGTCTTGTCGCTGCACAGCACATCCATGCCTGCCATCTCTTCAATAGCAGTCATACGTTTCGTGATGGCACCCTGCACAACTCACATGCAGCACAGAAACCATAAATACAACAATGTTAAGCAAATACTCAAACGTCACTCCATTCCAAGTGTTGATTCCTAGGTGAATTCCAAAAATCATGGGAACAACTTCTAACCACTGATAGAAAGGATAAATATTAATATCAATACCTGCTGTGAGAGACGGTGAGAGCCGATGGCCATGGTCACTGAAAGTACGGTAGGCATCGCAATGGGAATGCCACCAATGAGCAACACCAAAAGATTATCAATACCATCCCTGTAGGCACGCTTCTGGATGGGCCACATCACTATGATCTCAATAACGATTCCAATCGCGATGGAAATGATGCAGAAATTTCCGATTGCAGTCAACACCTTCTGGAAATGGCCCACGTTGTTAGTGGAGTCGACCAAATGTGCAGCCTTGCCGAAGAAAGTGTGTACTCCCGTAGCAATCACAACAGCCTCAATCTCTCCTTGTTTGCAAGTAGATCCTGAAAACACTTCGTCTCCTGACTTCTTTGTGGCAGGTAGTGACTCTCCGGTCAAAGCAGACTGCAAATAACAACAAACAGAACAGTTACTCAAATAGATCCATACAAAGCTAATTCACGAGTCTTCACTTTAAGTTGATTCCGAGCTGAGAACAGAAAGACACAGCAGTACTTACACAACAACGTTAATTATCATGTCTAGTATGAATTATAATGAAGATAACTTAATCCTACACCTGTGATTTAAGGGAGTAATTACCTGGTCAATTTTTAAAGGATCACCTTCAAGTAATCGTGCATCAGCGGGAACGATATCACCAAGCTTGATGCTGATAATATCACCAGGAACTAGAATCTCGGCATCACGTTCTGACCAGGTGCCATTGCGCAACACCTGCACAGTAATGATCACCGCAGCTCTAAATGAGAAACGAGGGATTGCTGAGGAAGAAATGGTACATTCGACCAGTCAATTTCGTACAAGTGATTATATACTGATAAAAGAGTAAAACACTTGTCCACATCATGATCCTGAACTAAGGACTCTGTTGACACTTGCACAACAAGCTTGAAGCCCTCGATAAATACCTTAGTTTTGGGAGCAAGTCGTGCCATAAGAGAAGCAGCTGCTTGGCCGGCATTGTTCTCTTCAATAAAACTGATAGTCGAATTGATGATCAGCAACACAATAATTCCAACGAAATCTTGCCAATCTGGTGGCCGTCCCTGCAGACATCCCCGTTGTTAGCTTTCGCCCGAAAAGGAAAAGCTGAGTAATCTTTGACTGAAAAGAAATTGCCAACATACAGTAATAATGAGGCTAAAGAAAGAGATTCGACGCCTGTAGTGTTAACCGTCTTACCCCTCCATTCGCAAGAGCAATGGCCATGATAGCAGCTGCCTCCATGACCCATGACAATGGGTTCCACATGAACCCCAAGAATTTGAGAATTTTGCTCTCCTGCGGAATCGAACACAAAAATTTAATTGAGAGACGCGCATAGGACAGAAACGTGCAGAAGTTGCAAATTTTTCGCAGCCCGGAATCCACACAACACAAGCTTTAGAAAAGCCACCTGGACAAAGGATGAAACTGTGTCAACAATATAGGGGTGTACACAAGACATACCGATTTCTCTTCGAGCTTGTTGGGACCACATATTTTGATACGTTGCTCACCCTCTGCATCGGTCAAACCTGCTCTTGTACACCTCAATTGCTCGAAAACCTCTTCAACTGGAATGTGTTCCTACATTAATAACCAGGTGGCATTTCAGAAATACGTCAAACACGTTAACAGTATTTTCTTTAAAGTTATTCCTTCGACCGACAAAGATGCTCCACATGCACTGCAAGCATTACAAAGTCTGAAATTAATACACGCAGTGCAAAGGAAAATTAGCCAGCATTAGTTGTGCAAATTGTAGACAACTAACTTCTACCGAAAGTTGACTGTGTTAGGACAGTTTCCACTCATATGGAAACTTACTCAAGTACATTCACATCTAGAGTTGGTATGATGTACACGTAGTTTGAATTTAATTCTTTTCTCAAATGGTCGATTGGGCATCAAGCATCCAGTATACAACTGGACGTTCCCAATTTCAAATCGAATACGAGGTAGGTGCCAGTGTCTTCTCTCCAATTCTAAGGAAATGAATCGAAAGCAACTCGAATTGACCAGAAAAACACGAGAACTTCCCACTCATCTCGTGTGCTCGACACTGCAACGTGCGTCAAGTTCTAAGTCATAAGCAAACCCTTCGTACCTCACTCCCATACCATGAAACTCTCCAACAAAGAGCTCTCAGCGAACTGTGGCAGGGTAGAATGAGGTCGATATTATAGTAGCGCCATGCGGTGTCTACAATCTGGGATTAATAACAGATACATACGTATTGCACGCAACAAATGCAGGACTATTAAAGGACTCGGACACGAGGTGCTTTGACCTCTCAAACGGTCGACAGATCCATGGAGACGCTGTAACCTGTACAAAATCAGAACTGACGGGATTGAAATTACACAAAACGATCCTAACTCTGACACCAGCTGTGTCATCCGAGTGTGCATTCATATATTTTCTTCATTCTGAAAGCCACTGGCCATCAAACAAACAAGAAAGCCGCAAAAAGCAAGCTGTTGAATTCCAGGAACGTAAGCAAATCGCACAATAGGAGTACTGTACGAAAAGCAGCATGCTACACAAAAACAACACCTACCAGGTCTCCCCGCATCGTCCTCACAAAACCATCGCCTCAATCATTACACAAGCGCATGTTCCACCGATATCAAGCACATTCCACTGGGAGAGAGGCAAACTACATCCAACACCGTTACCACAACCGAAAACCACAGATCCTGCGCCAAACCCCTCTCCCCAACGGTAACAGAGGGCCACCTTCCAATCATCTAAACAAACCCTCCCACTCGAAAATTCACACAGACGCATCAATTCACTCACCAGGTCCACGGTTTCATTGTTGAGCGCCTGGAGGGCATCCAGGTCGGTCATGGTCTTGTCGACGCCGGCAGCCGGCGCTTTGAGTCCGTCGCTCATCTTGATGAGAGGCGTCTGCAGCAGAAGAGCTGCCAGACACACAGCCGATTCAAGAAAAAAAGAAAAAAAAGCAGAGGAAGGAGAAGCGCGCGACTACCAGAACAAATACATAAGGACTAACGGCAGAATCTACAAATCCGGGAACGGGAACTGCGAGAAAGGCATTCGCAAGTGCCTTTCGCACAAGATCTTCGTCACTCTCACGGGGTCCGCTAACTCAGGCGGGCTGGCTCCCTCCCAACCCTCCCCTCCCTCCGTTCCCTCCCCGCCCTCCGTGCCTCCCCTTCCCTTCCACTGCACTTCCTCCTCCTCCTACTCCGCGCTCTTTCCCTCTCAGTCACACAACAGAGGCAGAGCACAGGTTTAATACCACAGCCCAGCCAGCCCATCCCCCGACTCCTGAGGGCCGCCCACTGGTCCCTCCTTTCCTCCCTGACCAGGCCTTACCCCGTCTCCCCGCCGCTTTACCTTTTTCTCTCACTTTACTTTTTCTTTTCACTCACGGCGCTCACTCTTTGTCCCACATCCATCCATCCATGCCCATGTGTTTGTTTCTCATGCCCATTTACGTCTCGCTTCTCTCCCTTACCCATATATGTTCGTTCCCTTTCAGTTACTAATTCCATTCCTTATTCTCATTATCATTTTTCATTATTGTAGTTTGGCTCTAGCTGTAGTTCACCACAGTTCTTATTATTGTTATTATGTCTATTGGTCAAAATTTCCAAAAACAAACCTTTGCTGTCTTTTTTTAATCCAAAAAGCATTGTCATTTGCTTCACTTCCAACACCCAAGCTTTTGCACAAGACATTCTCTTTGAATTTCATTGATAATATAATGCTTTCTTGAAAATCATTCATGTATTCATAACACCACATCTTAATGTCCATTTGTATTATGATTATTAATGCATTTCTGTGCTTTGCATTTCAATCAAACTCTTAATGTTGTACAAGGGCTCACTTGCATCATGAGTCTCACTTTTTAAATACATTCAAAACCATATGATACCTTTTGTTTATAACTAGTTATTTTTAAATATTTATCTTTACAGCTAACATTGTGATGGAACTTTTTTCTTAAGAACGAGATTAAATTTGTAAAATGACCTAGAGATCTATATTTCTCTCAGCTATTTTGTTTTATTTGTATACTTCAGAAAATTACAAGTATTTTTTGGAAAGTATTAAATTTACTTATGTTTATCATATGAGATAAACTTTCAATCTGGCCACCACATTCATCATTTTAGTTATTTCTTTTAGGCACAAAATCCTGAACAATCTGTTAGACAGTAGGTTGCTTTCATTTCAAATTAATTGATGCAGTTATTCTAATTCATAAAAATAAAAATGAAAAACGTCACATTTATTGCTTGAAATTATTTTGTGGCAAGGGACAAAGCACTCTTATGTTGGTTTAGGGTAAAATATATACAATAAAACATATTTAGCACACTATTTTCATCAATTTTTCAATATGTTTGGTTCAAGCAAGATTAGGAATACTATTTTTTCTTTTAAAATTAGAGAAATTAGTAATCAATTATCAAAATCTCTGGTAAATCTTTGTTCAGATGCATGTATAGATCCTTATTATTATTTTATTCAATGTTCCAAAAATAAATATACTTTTTTTTTTTTATCCATTGTCGCTGCCATCATTCTACTATGTGTAACAATCCATTTTATCACTGTATTTCATCAACTCTTGCATTGCACCCAACAAGTTGTCTAAGGAAGTGCTAAATTTGAGTAGTTAGCTCTCTCAAAACATACATTCCTATTTGGCATACATTTTTACAACAAAAGCCATGGAGCAAGACTTGTTTCCATTGGGGGTCATGACCATCATTTAGAATAAACTTCACCACAACACATGGAGACTATACTATTAGGTAGAGTATTCCCTCATGGCACAAGAACCTTACCAAAAACACCACCACCACTGAGTGATTCATGCTGCAAAACACTTTGAGGGGAAGATAAAGATCGAGGCTTTGCTGAAGGCAGGGAAGGTCAAGTCCAGTCAAGTCAGCCCTTGTCCCTTCTTCTCTTGCACTCAAGAATTCTCTCTCTCTCTCTCTCTCTCTCTCTCTCTCTCTTTCTAATATGGTGAGGCTTGTGCTTGGATTCAAGGTTGCAGCACCCACACCACCATCAGCTGTCTGTGTGTGTGAGAGTGTCTCATTCTTGCTTCTCTCTCTTTCTCTGTGGTTCTTACCCCCTTACAGTTCATTTCCATGTGCCCATCTCCACCTTGCCAATGTCTGTTAAGGCCATTTCCTCTGGTTGAGCAGTTTCCAATCAATGCTTGTGGTGATCACTCAGCTGTATGTTTTGATGCTTTTCTTTTTCTTTTTCTGGGCTATCTTCACATATGGTTTTAAAGTGTTGTGCCCCTTTGTTTCTTTCTTTCAGTGTGCTCTGTTTCGCTGTCTTCTGGTGATAGTATTTTGTAAGCAGCACTTAATCACCAGTCAGCCAACTACTTGGTCCTTGTACAACACACAGTTATTGGTTTTAAGGGGGTTGAGTTGTTATGCTTGCAGCAGCTAGCCTAGAAAGAAAGCCCTTCAGTGTGAGTGGGAACAGATGTGGGAGAGGGTCTGCAATTTACTTGCAATCACCAACATTAAGCAAATAGTATGGGTTGGATCATGTTGACAAGCTTGGGTGAGCAACCTAGACTGGCCACTCCAACCTCCATTCTCCTGGTTTAACATCACTTAGGAAGAGTGTCCCCCTCCCACTTTTTTTTCTTTCACCTCTTCTATGTCCTAAGAATGCACTTTAGACTTATATTCTGTAGAAAAGAGAGGAGATAAAAGAAAAATGGAAAATGGAAAAGAGAGAAATAGGAGGTTTTAAAAAAGTCCTTGAGTATCTTTTTCCCTGGGTGGGTGGGTAAGAATGATATGACAAAATGAGAAAGTTCATTGGGCTGTAGTCTCCTCCAGTCAGCCTCTGCAAAGGATTGTACATGCTAGAAATTGAAAGAGAGAAAAAGAGCAAGGAAAAGTAGAGAAGGGGTCTTGACTTTCAAGACCTCGCTAGCTCTAGAAGGGCACACCACTGCAGTCCTCTCCCAGAGGATCCAAGCCCCAAAGACCAAAAGATGTTCACCTTCAGGACATGAAAGTAAGGGCCTTCTTGCCCTGTCATTGGATTATTTTGGTCAGCATGATCCTGTTTGTTTGCTTCTCAGTGACAAGTTTATGCTCTCTTTGAATTTTCCAAAGCCCTGCTTTTTCTTTTGATGCACAGTATAAATTTATAAGCTCTGCTCCTTCTTGGAAACTTTCACTGTCATGGAACAAGGATGGTGGATTACAGTGTTGAAAATGCTGCCACTGGAATCAGAAACTGTCCAGCAATCGCAGCACTTAACTTCAAACAGTGGCTGCAATGAAGAGAGTTGGACAGAGTTGTTATTTTTAAAATACTGGGATATTCTATAAAGAGGAGAAAGTCTCTGTTGGGAAGAGGTGGTCATGTGATGGGGATGAGAGTCAAAACCCCATTTGCATCTCTAAGCCAGTATTCCAAATCCATCCTTAGCAAGGAGTGCCCATGATTGCACCACATTTGTGGTGAGAAGAGTACACAAACTACCATCTCCTTCTTATGAGTTGAATCCACTCTAATACATAGCTGAGTATTTGATTTGTGGTGTGTCATTGAAGTGTAGTAGAAGCATTGAAATCTGACATTGTCTCAAATGATTAAACCCAGAACAGGTGGATGGACTATCATTGATCAAGATGAGTGTCATTACTGATCAAATGGAATGAGATGTTGCTTAAAATAGTAGGCTTTGCTGGGCTTAACTGTGTTAAGTGGTGGATGAATGTGCTCAGAAAAGGAGGGCCTGTGCACCATCAGACCTATCTACCAGGGATAGGCTTTTGCTTTGACTTTTAAGTATTTAGGAAAAGGATGTGATGCACCACCACACTAGCCGAGCAGAATGTGTAAGATAAGGAATTTTCTGTGAACAACTGGAGGAGGAGGAAGATGAAGCAATGTGACACTGCTCCATCTTCTGGAGGAATTAGTTGAGAGAGGGTGAGGCATGGTTAGTATGGTGCCTCACAGATGCACAAGAGATGATGATAATAATAATGATAAGTGGAAGAAGAAGATGATGAAGAATAGCAGCGCATGGCACATCACAATGTCAACAGCTGATGAAGGATCATACATTGCCCTTGCAATAAGACCTCTTCTTTCTTCTTTCTATTGTTTTTACTTTCCTCATGATATCCTTCTGACAGAATGAAGTTGTTTAATTGAGCCATGCAGGTAGGCAGGCAAGACAGGGCACACAAACCTTGCTCTCTCTCCTCCCTACCCTTCAATCCAACGTGAGCGGACTAGTCAAACCCTCCATTACTGTTCCATTCGATGGGCATGATTTGATTATGTAGTCAGGTGTGTGTGTGTGAGTGAAGGTGATTTCCAGCCACTTTTTGTGCAAGGAGGAGGAAGAAGGAAGAAAAGGGTGGAGAGGGGCAGAAGGGCAAGGGCAAAAATAAGGTACTCCTTTCCTTACAAGTCCGTAGTACTGCAAAGCACACACTGACTGACACAATGACTCACTCACTTATTCACTCCATCTCACACAACTCAACCACCCCCCTCCCCATCTGCCTCCTTTTGTCTTGTCTGGCACATGCCCTCAATGCGAGAGAAGGAGAAGAAGAAGCATAAGAAGAAGAAGAAGAAGTAAGGGAGAGAGTCAGAGACAGCAGCAATGGCAATGGCAGCAGTGACAACACTGATGCAATTCAGTCTGTCAGTGGAGCCAACATCTTCACATACCACCTGCCCCCCCTCGTTGGGCCCTTTCATTCAAGGCACTTTAAAAAGCTGGCTTTTGTTCACCACAATCAACATACTATTAAAGAAATGATGGTAACCTGAGCTATTATCCATTCTCATCTCCAAAACATTATATATCTGTTATGTAGCATAGCTTGGGTATAACACAAAAAGACAAAGGAGTCTTCAATTTGGCCATGAACATCAGGAACTTGGGGAATGGGAAAAGCAGGGGGGAACAAGTGAATATGTGAACCTAAGTACTAGGGAATATGAGAATGCAAAGACATGGGAATATGGGAACAAGGATGAATAAGGGAATTGGACAGATGTTCAAGAGACTGTAGTGCCCTACAGCAGGGGCTTTTGCTGGTATACATACATACATACATACATACATATATACATACATACATACATACATATA